GTGTGTACTAGATAAGTCCTGAAAGACAGACAGAAAATTTAAAGTAATATTCTGTAGAAATAACTGCCGACAGAGGTCTGTATAGTCAAAGCTATAGTCTTTCCAGTAGTCGTTTATGGATGTGAGGGTTGGACCATAAAGAAGGCTGAGCACTGAAGAACTGATGCTTTCAAATTGCGGCGTTGGGAGAAGACTCTTGAGAGTCTCTTGCACAGCAAGAGTCCATCCTAAAGGAAATCATCCCTGAATGTTCATTGGAAGGGCTGATGCTGAAGCTGAAGCTCCAATACTTTGGCCACCTAATGGGAAGAAGCCAGCTCATTAGAAAAGACCCTGATGCTGGGAAAGATTGAAGGCAAAAGGAGAAGAGGGTGACAAATGAGATGGTTGGATAGCATCACCAACTCAATGGACATGAACTTGGGCAAACTCCAGGAGACAGTGATGGGCTGGGAGGTCCGTCAGGCTGCAGTCCATGGCATTGCAAAGAGTCGGACATGACTTAGTGACTGAACAACACCAATGACAAAACTCATGGTAAAGAAAGAAAAGGGATCCCCAGGCGGCCCAGTGGTAAAGAATCCACCTGCAATGCAAGAGACGTGCGTTCAATCCCTGGGTCAGGAAGTTCCCCTTAGAAAGAAATGGCAACCCACATCAGTATTCTTGCCTGGAAAATTCCATTGACAGAGGAGCCTGGCATGCTACAGTCCATGGAATCACAAAGAGCTGGACACACCTGAGCACACAATATGCACAGAAAAGTGTGATGTCCTCTATGTTTAGGGCGGAGGTAGGACCAGCCACCTTCTCCTGAAGGCCCTAAGTCACAGGCTCCAGAGAGAAAATAAAGGGACAGCTTTCTCCAGAAACTCTGGAAAAGAGGAGTGTATGGGAACAGTGTGCGTAAAGATAGTAGTTGGGTTAAGAGCGGTGATTGACGGAGCAAGGATTAACACCAAGAGCCACAAAGTCAGGGCCAATTGAACTAATGGGAACAGAGGCCAAATTGACCTGAGAAGGGTCTGCTTAGTACTCTGTTTTCAAACACTGGCCGTCAAGATGGCAAAATTCTTTGATTCAGTAATTCAGTTTCAGGAATTTTTACCTTAAATTAAGATTGGGTGTATAGTTTTGGTTAAAGATAATCATCACAAAATTTCTTACATAACTAAAAATTAGAAACAATTTAAATGTCTAAAAATAAGGGATTGATTAAATTATGGGAAATCCATACAGTGGAATATAGGGCAGCTAAAAGAAATGAAGGGATATTTAGCTTCTAGGAAAAGAAGCATGCTGTATAATTATCAGGGGGAAGCAGATAACAGTATAGTCAGTATAAATAAATCATATGCCTCATGACCAAAACAGCTTCTACACAGAAAATAAGTTTGAAAGTGCATTAACCAAAGTGTTCACAGTGACTGTCTCTTGATAGTAGGATTATAGTTGATTCTTATCCTTTTTTAGCTTATCTGAGTTTACTAATTGTTTTTAACTTTGAACATGGATGATTGTATAAGTCTGGCTTTTTTGTAGCAATTGAAGTTCATTTATTTAAGTGTCACCAGACACAGTGAGTGTAGAGGGTGATGATGATAGTCTACATTTGGCTGAGTGAAGAACCTAAAATCACAGTTGTGACATATCGCAATAGCAAAGACTGTGTGCGCTCAACTTGCTTTAAAATGTGGAAGAATTGAGACTGTATCTAGACTGTGGTCCTAAAGGGACATATACAAGGAAAAGAAAGGAAGAAAAATCTTTAATAATAAAATCATTATTCTAATAACAGAAATCAGAAGTTAATAACCCTGTATTGTGACTGTGGCAATTAAAGCACGGGCTTCCTAGGTGGTGCAGCAGTGACGAATCCAGCTGCCGATGCAGGAGACATGGTTTCAACCACGGGTCGGGATGAGGAGCCTGGTGGGCTACTGTCCATGGGGTTGCAAAGAGTCAGACATGACTGAGCATACATGCATGCAGGACACTAATATCATACTCAGTAGCCTTTTAAAAAAATCCTACCAGTGTGTTTGGCAGATTTTTACCATGTTAGTATGTTACTTTTAGTGGTTACATAGAATTTCAGTAGTGTTGCAGTAATGTAAATTACATACCCAATTCTCTAAGACAGATGTTCTGATTTTTTTAAAACATTTTTCGTTTATAAACAATAATGCAAGAAACTCTACTGGATGCACATTTTCCACGTATGCGGGCTTATCTGCAGAAAGGTTCCTGGCAGTAGAATTGCTGGGTTAAAGCAAATTTTTAAGGCAAACTTTCAGAGCTTGATTCTTCCCCACCTCCTTTTGATAACGACCCCTTTTAGGTGGTTGGTTTAACTGTAATGAACAATGGAACCAGCCAGCTCTCTCATGCCAGATGCCTCTCAGTTTCTTTCTTCACTGTCCCAACATGTGTGTGTATGTGCGGAGCTGTGTCCAACTCTTTGCAACCCTATAGCCCACCAGGCTCCTCTGTCCAGGGGACTTCCCAGGCAAGAGTCCTGGAGTGGGCTGCCATTTACTACTCCAGGGGATCTTCCTGACCCAGGGATTGAACCCACATCTCTTATCTCCTTCATTGGCAGGCAGGTTCCTTATAACTAATGCCACCTTGGAAGCTCACTATTTATGTTTTAAAGCTGTTCATTTGCTTAGTCGTGTCCAACTCTTTATGATCTCCTGGACTGTAGCCTGCCAGGCTTCCCTGTCAATGAGATTTCCCAGGCAAGAATATTGGAGTGGGTTGCCATTTCCTTCTCCATTATGTTTAAATAGAGGGCCTTGAATATTATTCTATATTTTGATAGACTTTTAAAAACTTGTACTCAATAAGCGCCTGTTTTTTTAATCCATTAGACATAAAAATCAAATGCTTCTAAAAATATATGCAGTATCATGAAATAACTAGAATTTCTTATATACTTAAGATAATTCACTATGTTATAGAATTCTATAAATATTTGTGGGATTATGCGCATGATGAATAAATTAGGCCCTCCAAATCTCAGTGTTTTTAACCAAATTAATTTGCAGAAGACTAAGTCTATTAAACTAGTGCAGAAGACTTTGTCTTCTCAGTTTTCTGATACTTTATGAAATATAAAAATTCCCATAAAGAAAAATGAAACCACACATTTCACTACCATTATCAGTTAACTTTTCCAATTTATCAATTCTTGAAAAGATTTTATAAATCCTATATGTACTATATGTCTGGCACAGCAGAAGAGAAGACAGAAATGGCCCTCTTTTGTGAGACTTGTAATATTTTGAGCATCTAATTACGTAATACAAAATTAAAGAGATAACAGACATTAGTAGACAGAGTTGCTGGTGTGCTAAAACATCTGCAGACTAGTTCAAACAAAGCAATGTATAGATGAATAAGTGACATGCAAATTATATGTATATGTACATCTATATCAGAAATGTATATTTTATATATTTAATCACCTCTATGCCTAACCATTGGAGAAGGAAATGGCAGCCCACTCCAGTATTCTTGCCTGGAGAATCCCGTAGGCAGAGGAGCCTAGTGGGCTGCTGTCCATGGGGTCGCACAGAGTCGGACACTACTGAAGCGACTTAGCATGCATGCATGCATTGGAGAAGGAAATGGCAGCCCACTCCAGTATTCTTGCCTGGAGCATCCCTTGGATGGAGGAGCCTGGTGGGCTGACGTCTATGGGGTTGCAGAGTCAGACATGACTGAAGCGACTTAGCAGCAGCAGCAGCAGCAGCATGCCTAACTATGCTCATTTAAAAATAAATGATTCTGATAAATAAATAAAGCAACTCAAATACACAGAAGGCAGTTCAGCAACCATTGCAAGGTCAATAATTTGAAGGAAATTAAACAATTCAAATGTCAAATCTGAGATACGAAAAACAAGTGAAATAGAGCAACACAAAGGGCATCTGTGCTTGGGAGTCTTTATTTGATGGTTTAAAGGTAGGTTCAGGGCATAGAACTCATTTTCCTCCTATTAAGTTTTTGCCTCTACTGTTTATTGTGTTTAATATCGTGGTATTTGGATTTCTCTGAAGGGGCTTAAAATGTTCTAGGGAGTCACAGAGAGAAAGAGAGTGGGGACTATGAAGGAACATAATCTCTATTTTGCAATTGTTTTTTCACACTGCATTTCTAATTATGTGTTTACACAATCATGTCCCCAACTAAACAGAGTTCCTTGAGGACAAAGATTCTGTTTTATCTTTGATTCCATAATATAAGGCACAGTTCCTGGCACAAAGAAATGTCTAATTGATACTGAGTGAATACACAAATATGTAGTATTATAGAATCACATGCTATTTTTCTGGGGTCAGCATTCACGTGGGTATAGGACTACTAAGATAATTAGTTGAATTTTATACATGTATGTAAATATATCCCATTTATATTTTATAATATATTTGTAATTAGGCTAATTATCTTAGTAGTTACTCATCTGTGTGTCAAGATTGGCATAAATAACCCAGGGCAGCTGATGATCAGTATCTCACAAAACACCCTTTATAGCTCAGGAATAAAGAAAGGCCTTCATAGAGGGGAGGGAGGACCGTAATCAACCCACCATTATCTCTTGGGGCTCCAAATAGTATGAGAAAACCCCTTATGACTAGTCATGACAAAACTGGTTACTCTGATTCCAGTGTTATTGTTTTTATCCCAACACACAGCGCCCTGTAGTACTGGGATTAATAGAAGGTAATAAGTGATCCTCCACAGTAATGAAAGCATTACGACTACACAGAGGATTAAAAACGGGGGATAAGTGCAGCCAATTATGATTCTGCGTAATTTGAAGTTCTTGATTTAGAACGGAATCTTTAGTAGCTAGACTAACAAATGCCAGCTTATTTCTTGACAGATTTGTCCTTCATTCTGAATAAATACAGTGGTTTTGATTTTGGGAATACCCAGTTCTGAAAAAATGAGTAAGCAAGTATTACTAAACATCTGTTTGCTTTTGTTTGCAGGAAGCCCTGAATGCCACTTTTCTGTCTGGGCAATTCTAGCCTTCTTGGGCTTAGCTCTGACTATATCGCTGATCTTCAACATTTTCCACTACGTGGAAAAGCAGCGACAAGGTAAGACATTGGGAAATAGTCATATGATACTTGTTTTGGAGATGGAGTCACTGGAAAACCTGTGGAGTAAAATAACTTTATGAAATGTTATTCATAATATGTTTTTATCTATAGAAAATCTATTTGATATGTTTTTTCATGCTGAGGGTTTGCTTAAGCATGTATTCATGTTAGAAATGTAAACAGAGTCCCAATTTTAGCTCTTTAAGGTCCCACTCAAGTCTACTCAAGCTTCTCAGTATTGTTCAGGACCTCTAAAGTGCAGCAGGCTTGCCTGGAAGATCAGAAGGGAATGGAAAAGCAATAGGTTGAACCACAGGCTTGTTATCAAACACTCCCAGGGTCAGCCACCGACAGCTTCTCTTTTCAATAAACTGGGCAGAAGTTCTACCCATGTTGCTTTCACCCTCTTGTGCCATGATTGAATTAAGGTGATGCCCAGTAAGGAGCACAGTATTTGCACACAGTAGGCACTCAACGTAGGTGTGTGTGTTGAATACAAGGATGGGTGGATGGAGGAATGAAAGTTCTACTATTTCTCAGTGCTCTTAATATTCTAGAACCAAAACACTCTTGGAAGTGGGACATTTAAGTGATAAACAGAAAATGTAAATACAGTTTCTTTAAACAGATGAAAATAAATAAAGCAAAGTTAACAAAATTGCAGAGAAGGCGATGGCAACCCACTCCAGTCCTCTTGCCTGGAAAATCCCAGGGATGGAGGAGCCTGGTAGGGTGCAGTCCATGGGGTCGCTAAGAGTCGGACACGACTGGGTGACTTCACTTTCACTTTTCACTTTCGTGCATTGGAGAAGGAAATGGCAACCCACTCCAGTGTTCTTGCCTGGAGAATCCAAGGGATGGGGGAGCCTGGTGGGCTGCCGTCTATGGGGTCGCACAGAGTCGGACACGACTGAAGCGACTTAGCAGCAGCAGTAACAAAATTGAGTTAGACACGTGTGTTCGAGGAAAAGCACATGAAGCTAATTGGGAACCGTGGCCAGTTTCCAGGGAGTCCCCTGTATTGGCAGGCAGGTTCTCTACCCCTAGAGCTACCTGGGAAGCCCACTGTCAACCTATGCAGTCCCTTATTTCAGCCCTATGACTGCACGGCATTGTGGTGAGTATCGGTGTGTAGAATCACTTTTCATCAGCATGATAAGATCAGGACTGGTCCAATTTTACTGACCTATTACTGCTGCGCTGTCAGCGAATGTTTAACAGGAGGATCCCTGCGTGCTGTGTTCTGTCCCTTATAAATCCTCTGTTCCTTATCCGTTCCTGATAACAGGAACGAGGGGAGCCCACGCCACTCCCAGGACTGGGGTCATAGGATGAGACACATGCGTGGATTTCCTTCAGTAAACATTTTCCTTGCGACAAAACTGCTTAGTCACGACCCTCTCTCTTGAGATATGGGTTGTCTTCTGACCTTATGACCATTGTTGATTCCTTGTTCCCTTGATAACAGTTGCTGCACGTTTGGTTTTCTGATTTTATCATTGTCGAAAGAAATTCGACAGAAAGAAATTTCTATACACTTACAGAAAGATCATTAAAACACCCTTGCTCCACCAGAGACCTGGGTCCCCGTGTCTCTCTCTCTCCCTCCCTCCCTCCGGCTAATTCTCTGGAGCGTGGAAACCTGCGGAGCTCACTCTCCTTCCCCGGGCTTTCAAGACCTCTTCGAGAGGGCGCCCTGTGCCTCTGTGAGCAGGGTGCAAGCCCTGTGCTGGGGCTTTATCGGTTCTCTGCATAACCCAGGGAATATTAGCTTCTTTCTCTTTCACTTTCTTATCGTCGGCTCCGGACCACCAGGTTCCGGTCCATTAAAGGACCCCAACACTGCCCCAGAAGTATTTGGCTGTGCTAGTCTTTTACAACATGATGTGAATAGATTTTCCAGTTCTCATTTTTGGTTGTGTGCTGGAATTTATTAATCCATATTCACACCATTTTCCCACCATACAAACTTTTTCCAGGAGTTGTTTATGATGATTAGTTGGCCATGGTTAAAAGACAGTTGCCTAAACTTAAAAAAAAAAAGAAAAAGAAAAAACCACAGGTTTTTTAGAAGACAGACTTTTTTTCCCCCTTATAATTGCACAATCCCTTACCACCTCAGACATGCTATAAATGGCTCTTGCCTAAAATCAGCAGAGTGGGAAAGAAACACTTAAAAAGAAACATAGAATTGTTAATTACATTAATGTACTTTAAAAAAATCAATTTTGGTTCCCTCAATTGTTTTTAAAATCATGACTTCTGAAATCAAGGTGACCTGTATTAGAACTCTGCTACTAGTTACCTGAGAGATCTTGCTGGAGTAATGTAACTTCTGAATTTCGGATTTTTTATCTCCAAAGTGTAGGAAATACTATCTAGACCATGGGCTCTGTGAGAAGTACGCAGTCACCTTAGCGCGGTGCTGGGGGTTTAGCAGGTGGGTCCTGCGCAAGGCACAGCCCACGCACCGCTCCGGGGCTCTGGGCCTTCCTTCCACAGATGCTTGCTGTTTCACTACGGCCTCACGTTACCCCGCGTTTTCTCTGGGTGTAGTCGCTTTCCAGTCTCGTGTTGCTTTCTGCTGTGCCGTGAGGTGGATTGGCCACGTGCTGGGCTGTGCTGAGTCGCTCAGTCGTGTCCGACTCTTTGCGACCCCATGGATGGTAGCCCGCCAGGCTCCTCTGTCCGTAGGGATTCCCCAGGCAAGAATACTGGTGTGGGTTGCCTCCTTGCAGGCAGATTCTTGACCAGCTGAGTGAGAATCATTTATCTGGGTACCTATACCCCCGCCCTCTTGGACCTCCCGTCCCTCTAGTTCAGCGCAGAGCGCGGAGCTGGGCCCCCTCGCCCGGCGGGGCAGGGCTGGGCTGGGCCCCCTCGCCCGGCGGGGCGGAGCTGGGCTGGGCCCCCTCGCCCGGCGGGGCGGGGCTGGGCTGGGCCCCCTCGCCCGGCGGGGCGGAGCTGGGCTGGGCCCCCTCGCCCGGCGGGGCGGGGCTGGGCTGGGCCCCCTCGCCCGGCGGGGCGGAGCTGGGCTGGGCCCCCTCGCCCGGCGGGGCGGAGCTGCTGGAAGCAGCTTCCCACCAGCTCTCTGTTTTACACTGGGTGGTGCATACATGTCGATGCTACTCTGCCGGTACTTCGTACCCTCCCCTTCCCCTCCTGGGCTCACAACTCCATTCTGTCCATCTGCATATCTATTCCTGCCCTACAAAGAGGTTCTCCAGTACCGTTTTTGTCGTTTCCACATTACATGTGAATATCATGTTTTCCTCTTTCTGACTTACTTCATTCTGTATGACAGACTAGGTCCATCTACATCTCCACAAATGGCCTAATTTCATTCCTTTTTATGACTGAGTAATATTCCTTTGTATGGGCATACCACATCTCCCTTACCCATTACTCTGTTCAGTGAACATTAGTTTCTCTGGCTTCGTCACCCCTCCCAGCATCCCCACACTCTCCAGCTCTCATCCCAATTCCTGCCCTGTCTCTTATTTAACGTGTCTGTACAATAACCTGACTTTTAGTGGCAACAGTTTGTTCAAATCACTGCATGTTCATCACATGCAGGTTCATTTCAGAGAATTTTGTGTAGGCTTCTTAGAATTGCTTCTAAGTATCAACCTGCCTCAAATTAATGTATTTGAGCAGTGAAGAGCTAAAGACTTCTGGAATGTGTCCCTCTTCTGTATCCACACCAGTTCCTTCATGGTGATTTCAGGCCTTGCAGATGTGTGCGGCCAGTGGGCTGCCCTGCTGCAGACTCTGTACCTCCCTTTCTAAGGATGGAGAGAAAGGGAGACCCCGGGGATGGGGAGAAATAGACACCTGGGGTGGGGGGAGTGGAGACATGCCAGAGTACCCCAATCCTGCCACAGGCCCCTAATGCTCAGGCTCCTCAACGCAGCAGTGCCCCATCGCTTCCAGCCGAGGACTCTGCACCCTCCCGAGGTCTGAGCCAGGTCCAAACTGTCTGACTACTCCAGGCAGGATGAGGTTTTCAGAAGGGGCATCCCAAGTTTCAGCACAGGGTCAAGTCTACACATGGGTGTTACCTCACACCATTATGTGCACCTTCCCATTCTTAGATACCCTCCTTCTCCCACACCCGCTCAACAATCCCTTAGACCTGCAATCTGCTAGAAATTATGGTACCACCCTCTTCCACCAAGGCTTGGGTTGAGTCATGGATACGCTCACCCCTGAGCTCATGGATCCAGGAAAAACAAAAGACTTTTTTTGTTTTGACTTTACTTGATCTTCGCTCTTTAGGAAGAGCATGTTACCCTGGGTCTTGCACTTTACCGGTGTGCAAATCTAAGATTAACCTTGGAACAGTGTTTGTGGATGTTCTTATCCCATCTCCCCCTTTTCTCTCTGTAGCCCATTCCCAACCACTGCGGTATTACGAATGATCACCATCCTTTCTACTTCACATGAGCAAAGAACACTGTCTTTCTTTCTTATCCAGAGATTCCAGGTGGATTTGGGATTAGTCCTGCAAACTGATTCCTTGGCAGCCAGCCTGAGGACGCTCCCTGACTTGTTTCTCCTGGACAGACGGACTCCCAGAGATTCTATCCTATTTAGCCAGCTTTGCTGTCCCTCGGTCTCTGTACACAAAGCTCCTGCACCTGGCCTCATGTAACTTTTATTTCTACATCTCTGTGCTATTCTTTGTGGCTAAGAAACTTGCAAGATATGACTCCACCTTGGTGAACAGTTAGTGAATAAATTTTTCTGGTTGTATTAAATAGCTTGCAAAAGAAAATCTCTGTCCCAGCAACAATGCAGTATCTACACATTCAATCAGATAGACAAGATAAGCCCCTCCTTGATGTTTTCTGTAGCAGGCAGGGCTCCGTAGAAGCTTTGAAACGGAGTTCTCCCTTCCCCCCAAGTAAATCTTTCATTTTTATGTGATTCTTTGTCCAAATGTGTTCTTTAGGAGGATCACATTTATTTCTCTTTCTAATAGGAATGCATCCACTTTTTCTGCCTTTAAGCCTAAAAAATATTCTTTAACCTTTCTTCTCTGTTTTGAGAAGGATAAACAACAGTACGGTTTGTTCATACATCAAAGTCCTATCAGTGTATCTCCTATTTGCTAGAAAATTACGGCACATATTTCACACTAAAGGTGTATCATAAAATTTGTATGATGGAGTTTAAGCCTCGTACTCTTGTTTCTTATTGTTCCGTATTGCACACGGAAGGGTGAACACAACAGTGGGGAAAACAAAAGCAAATGTCAGCTCACACCCTTTCAACCATGGACCTGACCACAGCGTTTATATCTGAACCACAGGACAGGGTTATGAAAACTCACCCAGCTTTTCTCAAACTGAGTCTTGCAGACACCCCTGCTTTATAATGAAATAAAACCTGTCTTTTATTAGATATAACTGAAATGCTTAAGTAGCTTTTAAATCATGTCATTTAACCCTATAAGCACTCGTAACAGGGCAACCTCTTTTCAGGAGTCTGAGCTTACTGATCTTTTTCCGTTGCTGTAGCCTCTAAACCTTTTACTGTAGAACCCCTCTTTAAATAGATCATATTCTATCACACTTCTTATGATAAGCATTGTAAGACTAAAAGGACATAAGTACTGATGGTCTCGCTTCAGATTATACATTTAAATTTTAAGGGTCGTGTGATAAGGTGACCTTGAACTTTTAATGTTTCCTTTCAGGGTGCTTCTGCAGTATGATTTGTTCTGATGTACAAAGTCCTTTACCCATTACTTATTTTCTTCTTCACATTGTTTTAGTTCCCTTTCTCTTTCCTTTTTCACACAAAACTTTTTGGTCTAAATCTTTGTTTTGCTTTTCTCTGCTGCTAATACATTGAACTGCATTTTCCTTCTAGAGAGCTATCCTTCTACATATTACAGCAGGGTATTTTCCAGGCACCATCATTTACACTCTAAGCACCTCCAGTTGGAAAACCCACATCATCTTTAAAAAGTATTAGTCAGTTTGGAGAAACATTTTTACTCCACACTTATTTCTTTTTCTCATTCTATTTAAGCACTGTCACTATTTTTGTTTAGTTTTAATCTTTTCTTTGAATTTACTACTCAGTTGATGACAATCTTCTTCCCAAAAGAAGACTACATCTCAAGTCAAGATTTATTTATAAGTCTTCAAAATAGCATTTAAATTATATTCTATCAGCTACTTTTCAGCTAATCCATTTAATCTGAAAACTTCCCAAATTCAAGTTAGCACAATTTAAACGTGGCTTGTTAGAGGATGTGGACTTAGAATGTATAATATTGATAACCGACTTTCTATAATGTTTTTATACAAATTACTTCATTTATCTCCCACTTCTACTCCATGATATAGGCATTATTAACCCTACTGATACACCAAGAATGAGTTCTACAATGATTTGCTTGTTCATCTGCAATGAAATACATTAAAGAGCTGGCACCCAAATCCAGTTCTGATTCCTAACCCTGAATCTGTTCCATGATACATCAAAGCTACAGTTTGACTAAATTCTTATGTATGCACTTTAGTTTCAGACAAATTTGAATAATAATGACCTGAATATAAACATGTACTTCATATAAAAAGATATCAATACTTACTTTATATTTTCCAGTTAACAATTTTCTAGTCCATATTAACTAATTTTTGTTTCTATGATTATTGATCTTATTTACATTTTCTCAAGCTTTCTCATTTTGTTGGGCTTCCATTAACTTTGGGTACCGTGCAGCAGTAGGCTTCTCCAGGCTTCTCCCAGCATCCATGTTACATTCATATTCACAAGACTAATCTGAAGATAGTTGAAAACAGCTACATCTTTCAGATGCAGTCCATGGTAAGACATTTACTGTGGGCTAAAGCAGCATATTTGTGACAGATCCCAAACAGGCTACATTCACCACTTCTGGTCCCATAGCTGCTTGATGTTTGTGATTTGCAAAAAATTCCCACATTTGGTCCTTAACAGAATTCTTCCAAATATATTGACATGTGGCATGTCTATTTTACCCTCCAACATGGTGATTTTAATAATTTGAAACATTACTGAATAATATTTCTCCAACATGTAATGACTTGTCTGGATAATAACTTTGTCATACATAAATCTAACTAAAAATAATTTTTGTAGTTGTTTGGTGACTTGTTCAATTATTTGGAAACGTTTGTTAGTTTAACACCAACACACAGTTGAGTCACTGTCAGATAGATAATACTGGGCTTCACTTTCATATGATAGCCTTTGCAAGATTTTGGTTTTTATTTAATGCCAGGTTAATGATATGCAATCAAAATATAAAAGATATCACACTATATATATCTATCCAGTTCAAAGAAATTTTGTTGATGATTAGATAATTTTTATGTGATTGTCACACACCAAGAAAAGTTAACGAGCACTCCAAAATTAGATAAATAGAAGAGTCTTCTAGGGACTTTTTTTTTTTTACAAGGAAGAAAAGCCTATTCAAATCTGTAAGGGCAAAGAGGGCACTTTGTCAGTAAGAAGCAGAGCTGTTTCGTGGAACCCGAGGCAGAAAAGTGAAGCTGTGCCCCACACAGGCTGGGACCACAGAACAGGCAGGCACAGGGTTCCCCAGGTCTCAGCCAGGCCTTTCCCCTGCGTGAAGTGGCCGCTCACTGAGCTCTGCATTGTCTCCAAGCTGTATGATGTTTGCCTTCCAGATTACAAAGAGGGAGCGCGATTGGCCCACCAGGGAATACCTTTACCTCTAAGTCATAGTTAAGTGGCTTGATTAAAGATGTTAACTGACATTGTTACTAAGCTTCTCTCAGAACATGCTCTGAAAGGTTTAACACATGTCATATTTTCTCTTGTCTACTTTGAATATCTTTCAGAAAAAATATGCGCATACTCCGACGACTACTTTCCCAGGTATGTAGAAAACAAGTCATGGATTATGATTCCCAAATAATATGGAAAGTAACTAGTGTTATATTGCTTTATAGGATTGACTTAGGAATGTTTCACTTGGGTTAAAATAAAAGATGAGTTTTAATTACTTTTACTTCCATCTAAAGAGTAATAGTTACGACATTATCTACCCTAGTTATTTACTCTCCCTGAGTCAATGAGAGAGCTGGATGAAAATGAAACTAATCTGGTATCTACAGAATCCTCGTTAATTTTGGAAGAAGATAATCCTAGATTATGATTCAGTTCAGACTGTAAGAATGTAGTATAATTAAATATAGAATTGTGTGGTTCTCAAGAATTCAAGGTGGAAGGAAATCTGGCAATACCTAATAAAATTTAAGATGTGTATGCACATACACAAGAATGCTTTGTGCTGTGCCATTTTAAGGGTATTGCCAATAAATAACTCTAAATAATATGCAGTTATAGGTGTAACATAATCTCATATTTATTAAGCAAGTTGCAGATAAATTTGTATAATACTTTTTTAAGAGAAGATTTATGATGTCACAGTAAAGAAGTTTCATTTTCTTAGTATATTATGACCCAAGTGTGTCATTAAATTGGAAATTTTTCTTTTGGGACAAAAAAAATCTAAATATAGAAAATTTTCTAGAGGATTCTTTAAGACCTTTTTGAAATGGTAAACTGAAAGGTTGAAAATGCCTTTCAAAAACATAGAGCTTTCTCACTGGTATAGGGTAACACTGTGAGCTTTTTATTGTCCTCTAAAACATCCTTTAAAAAATTCTTCTCCATGTGGAAATGTCTCTGGAAGATTCAGATCTGGGCTACAGGCAGACCCACACAATAAAGAAAATCTATATTTTATGATTATTTTTAACATTATGTTTTACAACATGAGATAATTTAAATCATTAGTTCATATCAGGAGTGATTTGCTGATTCAGTTACAACAAAAGAATGTGACAAAAAGAATCCTACATAGCCATGCAGAACTTAATCTGACAATTGATTTTATACTCTTCACTTGAAAGGTAGTTAAGATGCATTGTTATAGAAAGTGATGTGATACAATCATCCTACCAAAGACAGGAATGGTGGTTTTTGAATTAGGATGATAAGAATTCAGAAAGGAAAATTGGTAAAATACCCATCTCAAAGCAAGCAAGCTCTTGGCTGCAGGGAAAATTCAGAAAAAAGGCTGGTTCTTTTATAACATTCATTCCTTCAATAAATATTCATTTAACAAATAAGCATTTGTTAGACAATAGAGATACAAAGATGAAAAGATGCGGATCCTTTCCTCAAGGATTTAATAATCTGTTATCAACTGTAATAAATCTCCATTTAGGCAGAATTTGAATATACAGTGCAGACTGTATCTATAAAGAGGCTATCTTATTAACTCACAAGTTTGTGTATGTACTTCACAGCTTGTCTATTTCTCTGATTATGTAGTTTGAAAGCCAAAGTCACCTTTATAGGAGAGCATGGAGGCTTCAGGGAAAAAACAAAAAAAACAAACTATCTCCCGTCATTAAGGCATTAATATTAAAACAGCAAGTGGAAATAAGGGCTATCTTTCTTTCAGTTCAGTTGCTCAGTCATGTCTGACTCTTTGCGACCACATGGACTGTAGCATGCTAGGCTTCCCTGTCTATCACCAACACCCAGAGCTTGTTTAGACTCATGTCCATCGAGTTGGTGACGCCATCCAACCATCTCATCCTCTGTCGTCCCCTTCTTCTCCTGCCTTCAATCTTTCCCAGCATCAAGGTCTTCTCCAATGAGTCAGTTCTTCGCATCAGGTGGCCAAAGTATTGGAATTTCAGCTTCAGCATCAACCCTTCCAATGAATATGCAGGACTGATTTCCTTTAGGATGGATTGGTTGGATCTCCTTGCAATCCAAGGGACTCTCAAGAGACTTCTCCAACACCACAGTTCAAAAGCATCAATTCTTTGGTGCTCAGCTCTCTTTATAGTCCAACTCTCATATCCATACATAACCACTGGAAAAACCATAGCTTTGACTAGATGGATCTTTGTTGGCAAAGTAATGTCTCTGCTTTTTAATATGCTGCCTAGGTTGGTCATAACTTTTCTTCCAAGGAGCAAGTGTCTTAATTTTGTGGCTGTAGTCACCATGTGCAGTGATTTTGGAGTCCCCAAAAATAAAGGCTGTCACTGTTCCCATTGTTTCCCCATCTATTTGCCATGAGGTCATGGGACTGGATGCCATGATCTTAGTTTTCTGAATGTTGAGCTTTAAGCCAGCTTTTTCACTCTCCTCTTTGATTTTCATTAAGAGGCTCTTAGGTAGGACTGACTCTCCCTAGGTAGTACTGACTTTTCTTAGGTAGGACTTAGGCAGGTATCTTTCTTAGGTAGGGCTAGCGTCGTGGCTGTTTCCGCAGTTCCTTATGTGGTTTGAGGTCAGTAGAAGAGAAGCGAGCTTCCCCCACCCTGGGTTCCCGGCTGCCCTGTCCCCGCTCCTTCTCAGCACTGGTTTAGGTGGGAAGCTAAGCTGGAGGGGAAAGAAATTTGCCTCTCTGATCTTCTCTTCCTGCATTAGTAAGTCAGCAACATGATCACTTAAAGGACAGCAAAGTGTCTACATCTAATAGGAAGTTAAATGCCTGCTTCCTGGTATTTATCCCAGGGCACTTTATTTTTCCTTTAAACATAATTCTGCACAATTCTTGTCTTATGATCTGTGTTAAGAGGATAATGCAGTGAGAATAACATGGGTTTGAGATCCAAACAGTTCTGGATTTTAATCAAATGCTTGCAATTACTAGGTTTGTAATCTTGGGGAAATGAGCATTTCTGAAGCTCATATTCTGAAGCTCAAGTATTATAACATAATACTACACTTACAGAGAGTAGCTGGTAAAAAAAAAAAGCTGACTATAGGTCTAAATTAAGGTCTTTTTTCATTTGCTTTGGAGCCAAAGTTTCTGTTCCTGGTGGTCGGAAAACTGTGCCTGCCGGCCAACTGACTTGAAGGAAAACTGTGGTATGGAGCTCTGCTTGAATTTTTTTTTTTTTTCTTAATTGAGTATCATCAGCTTACTTGTCTGGCAAGTGCAGGAGCCTGGGGTTGGCCTGAACTCTGCCAAGCAAATACATGGTGTATTTAATGGTTAAACGCGGGCCCTGTCCCTTCTTGCTGCACCCGTGTTGTCACTTAACCCCCAGTTATTTATTTTCTTCTTTGTCAATGTCAGGCTCATTTGGGGTAATGTGATGACTATTTAGGTTTACATGACCCTCCTCACCTTTTCCCACCCCCAAATATGTATATATACATATATATGTATATATTTTACCTATATAATATATAGACACACACACACATATGTATCTATATTCCTTTGTTTCTTTGCCTGCTAAAACTGGCTATAAAAGGGAGCTGCCTTCAATATACAAAGTATAAGAGTGTCAGGGAGCATCATAATGAAGGCTTTTGAATATGAATTTAGATCATTTTCATTAAAGATGAATTTTCTCAGTCTTTTCCTCACAAGAGGGAGTCCCAGTTCCCTAGACACCTCCAGTGCTTGCTCTGTAAGGCCAGCTTTGGCTAAACTGCCACACAGGAGCTGACTGGTCCTACCTGGTTTTAGTAGAGGGTCCTCTTATTTTTCCGTTAAAAACAGAAATGTCCTCATAAAACTGTACTGGAAGGGTGGATGGCAGGAACTTGCACCGTTCAGCTTCCAATACTTTGGAACAGATTGAAAAGGGAGTTTTTAAATAAAAATTTATAAAAATATTTAAAAAAAAAGAAGAAAATACCCACCCATTTGGATTATATTTACCCCTTAATTAAAGAAAGCGGTTGAGATAATCAGGAAAGCAGTACAGATTTACATTAAGCTTATTATAGCCCCTCAGTTTTCAGGGTCTGTCTCAAGGACTCAGGACAAATTTCTAGCAACTGTTGCATGGTACCGCCTGCATGGCACTGAAAGGTGCTTTTATCATAAAACGTATCTCATCTCAGTTATTCTTCTACCTAAAATGACCTCTTGGATTTCTAGAGCTCTGCAGGTTGAGGACCCCGCTTCAGTTCCCCTGAGATACTGACCAGGTGCCCTGGAACAGACTTTCGTCTCAGCTGTCATCTCCACCTTTCCCAGGGTTGAACATCCTGATGATAGTGGAACTCCTGGGTAGCCTTCACTGCTGCATTTGGAACCAAAACATCTCCATGTTCTCCAGCCTTCTGTTTGTTTTAACGTACAAGTAACCATAATCCAAACTCCAACTCTACGTGAATGTAAGAAGTCCCGTCCCGTGCCCAAGTCTCTGTGAGAATCTCCTGAAATGCACCTACAGGTTCCAAGATCTTCTTCTTGACTGTCTCTGTGCCACTGCTCTGGGTTTCCTTCCCATCTCTTTACAGTTCTTCAAGATGGCAGCACTTTCCAGTCTCCCTTCTCTCAAATTTTGAGGAAAAAAAAAACACTTTTTAAGTGTCCTTTAAGTGCTCCAAATCACTGGCAATACAAGCTTCTGTGTTTGACTTTATTTTAAAAAAAAAGTGGGCATTATCAGAAGAGAACTTGAACACTGATCAAAATAAAAATTTAGAATTAGATATCATATCTCTGAGACCCTATTAACATCTCTCCTCAGAGGAAACACTGCTGGTTCTTAGCTAACCCTAGCCATACAAAAATTGCTAGGGCTTACGTTTTTCTCCTGGACCAAGTGTCTACCTTTGATGTTCACTCATGCCAAGTTCAGGAAACCCACACTCATGATACAGTCCCTATCAAAGTACAAATTTATCGAGCGTATGCACAGGAACAATTGCTGCAGCAACTTCCCCTTTTCTCTCCTGCGTCGTTGCTTTCTCTTGGTTTCTTTGGTCTGATTCCGATCAGTGTATAAACAGACAGTGACACCTCACATCTTAAAGAAAAACTCGCTTGACACCAGGTTGCCTGTGGTCACCGCTCCATTGTTCTGTAGTCTTTACAGGAAAACTTGCAAGTTCCACGAAAAACTCGCTTGACACCAGGTTGCCTGTGGTCACCGCTCCATTGTTCTGTAGTCTTTACAGGAAAACTTGCAAGTTCCACGTACATTCTGTCCATCTTTGCTGGCTTCTCTTCCTCTTCTTTCTTGAACCCACTCTATTCAATTCTCTGTCCTCAATAATCCACTGACTCAGCTCCTGTCAGGGGCACCGGTGAAATGTGTGTGGCAAATCTCGGTCTCATATGTGGCCCACCTGCAGCATGACACATTGTCATTCTCTGCTTCTGGTGTGTGTGCTAAGTCGCTTCAGTCCTGTCTGACTCTTTGCGACCCCATGGACTGCCGCCCACCAGGCTCCTCTGTGCATGGGGTTCTCCAGGCGAGAAAACGGGAGTGACTTGCCATGCCCCGCTCCAGGGGATCTTCCCGACCCAGGGATCGGACTCGCGTCTCTTAGGTCTCCTGCACTGCCAGATGGGTTTACCGCTAGCGCCAGCTTAGACACTTGCTTATCCAGGCTCTGAGGCCGCCTCCTCCTCAATACCTGCAGCTCCTTCTGTGCTGGCTCCTGAACCATAGATGGCAGAGTGCCCCGGGCTCACCTAGTGAACCTCTCCTCTGCCTGCACTCATGTCATTAGTAATCTCATCCTCTCTCACGGCTTTAAGTAACACTTATACACTGGGCAAAGACCAAACGTTTTTTCTGCCTACTCAGAGAAAGTGAAGTCACTCGGTCGTGTCCGACTCTCTGCGACCCCACGGGCTGTAGCCTAGCACGCTCCTCTGTCCAGGGGATTTTCCAGGCAGGAGTACTGGAGTGGGGTGCCATTCCTTCTGCAGGGGATCTTCCCAACCCAGGGATCGAACCTGGGTCTCCTGCATTGTAGGCAGACGCTTTCCCATCTGAGCCACCAGGGAAGTCTTTCAAACAAATATCTATTAAACAAATAAAGTTAATCTAAACCAATGTGTGACAGACCCCTAAGCTTACTCTTTCCTCAATCTTTCAACTTTCCAGACCCTTAAAATAGTTTTATTTAGTTTTCCAGAAATGTTTTTCATTTTTGTTTGGATGTTGAAACCCACATTTATGTCTTAGAATTTGGAAGCTGAAAAGAACAACATAGGGAATAATTTAATATTTCTGTTTTTTAAATCAGGAAATTTAAACTTCAGGAATTTATGTTCAAAGTCACCCAGGCAAAAGTAGTGATTTTTTAAAAATTGAACTCACTTATTTAATCTTAAATAATAAAGTATGAGACATTTTCTTTAAAAGGACTTCACAATAAAAATGATAAAGTATGCATAAGGACTTTAAAAATAGAGACAAGAGAAATTTACGTGAAAGTGGAAAATCTGAACCTTAAAGATGTAGATTGAAGGTAAAAAAGCAGGCAGCAGAGGATGAGATGGTCGGATGGATGGATGAGATGGTCGGATGGATGGATGAGGTGGTCGGATGGATGGATGAGGTGGTCGGATGGATGGATGAGGTGGTCTGATGGATGGATGAGATGGTTGATCACTGACTCAATAGACATGAGTTTGAGCAAACTCCGGGAGACGGTGAAGGAGAGGAAAGCCTGGCGTGCTGCAGTCCATGGGGTTACAAAGAGCTGGGCATGACTCAGTGACTGAACAACACAACAATCACAATATTATTTTAAATTTTGGAGTGTCAGTAAATGTACTAATTGGTTAGAGGATCATTTCAGGCATGTTGAGAACAATAGAGAAAGTGATCTGGCCCCAAACTCAGAGGTGCACTAGCCTCTGGGCATATTTATTAATTTACTCTAAATAGTAATGTCTTCAACATAAGACACTGCCAAACATTTGTGCTTGAAGTTTATTAGATTTTTGCAATAGGCTGGAGCTATTTGGCATTGCCAACTAAAAATATACTTATTAATTTGTTGGTTAGACTGCTTCTTTATAATAGATTATTTGTGATGATTAATCGTTTGAGACCTGCCTGCAGACACAGGCCACTGCATTATAAATCACGTCCTATTTTCTTCACAGGGAATGAAATGATGTTCATTTTTTGGACATGATTTATCATTTGCAGGTTGTATCTGCTATTCATGTGTGCTCAGAAAATGGATGGATTGTCTTATTAAAAATTCCTCACCTTTTGCTATTTTATTCTCTGCATAGCTAGAGAAAAACCATTAGCAGGGACTTAACTTTGTATCCCAGTATTAAGCTGTAGTGAATTACCAACAGAAAGGGTATGAACGAGTTTCTTTGTTATCAAATAAGGCAAATACATACCAGCAACTGGACTTTTCAAATAATTTCATACAGGTATCATTTGATCTTTTTTAAGGATACACTCTTGATATTTAAGTATACGGTCTTCTTTCAGAAGCATGGGACTATAATATAGGCTTTTCCTTTTGATGCAATTCCCTCCAGCTCTCGGCGATATATAATCTCAAAGTTAAAGCAGTTGCTGCTATTTTATGATATGCCGCTCACTGCCTAAAATGTTCTTCTGCTCCCATCCTGCTATTGTGAAAGCTGGTCACCAGGGCCATTGTCACTGCCTGTGACAATAGTAGTTGTCTACTGTAATCCTAACAGGATTATTCTGATGAAGTAACAAGGAAATTTAATCAAACACCAAGAGCAAATAATATTTAGAGCTTTAGGACCAGACTTGCATTTCAGTCCTAGCATTGTCAGTTACTATGTGTCTCTTGACAATTTGCCTCTATAGCTTGCAAATGCCTTATGTGCACAAATGGGGAGTTTTGGAAAATGAATCTCGTAGGACTGTCCTGAGGGGTGAATGAGCACTGGCATGAAGAAAAGCTTCCATGTTTGCTATTTATTGCTGATATTACACGTAAGGTTAGGGAAAATATGTTAATCTATCTGAAAAGTGGGAAATGATATTTCTGTAGAATTTCCCTGTGTTTTTTATATAGTGTATATAAAACAGCACAGTATTTGGGTATAATAGGTAATCAATCTTTTTATTGCATCTGCCAAGCTGAGTCTACAATATTTCTCTGGCCTCTCATTTTTTAATCACTGTCAATATTTAGTAAACTGTGTTAGGGGTCTGTTCTGAGTGATATTATTGGCAAGCAAACAGGAAGTACAGTGTAGAGTTTAGTGCACAGATAACCCATGTTCTAATCCCAGCTCTGCCGTTTCCTGGTTCTGTGACCTTCAGCATATTATATAACCAATCTGTGTCTCAGGTTCCTTATCTAAAAGATGGGAATGCTATAGCACCTGTCTGGTTAAATTATTGTGAGAAATATAAAAGGAATGAATATATATATAATGCACTTCAAGTAACTCCTGACACACAGTAAATGCTAAATAAGAATTTGCTATTATTCACTAAAAGAAGATCCAGAATACACTTTTCAAATTCATACACACACATGCATGCACACTTGTATTTACTGACTCACTTGCATATCTACCTTGGGTTGTCAAGGTTGGATAAGAATGTGCAATAATTTACCCAATACAGAATATAGCTGAGAAATTAGATATGAATTATGTAGATTCTAACAAGGCAAATTATTTCCTTCTTATAGGGAAGATGAGTATGATCTTGAAGATGCACCAATTTATGGTAACGTAGATAATGTGGCCTTAGGTAAGTTTTATTTTTCCAAAAATTAAATTTACCTATAAATCAATTTCCCCCTCATAATTCCACAAAGAATTTGAGGTACCTTATTTCTTGCCACAATCATATTTAAATATCCCAATGGTAACCATACATTCGAGTATATTTAGCATGCCATTTATTATGTATTTTCAAAGCGGCATATTGTAAGTTGTATTGCAACATTCAGTGTGAATCAACATCCTGTTTTTCTATATTCTCTTTATTTCACTCTAGTTTGTAGTGAGAATACCGGAAGACTCAATTACCATGAACTCTGACACACACAGATTTCTATGAAATAAAGCTATTTCTAGAACAGAAGATTGCCCAGGGAGACAGTGCTTTATGCTCTGTATACAAAAGCATACCTACAGTGAATAATTTGGAACAAAGAACAGATTCTCTGGTTTCCTTTGTTTTAACTGGTTCTTTTAAAGTAGGGGATCTAGGGTTACACTGATGACAATCGGGGAAGGAGAAGAGCCAAACCATCACTGAGTCATGGGTTGTACACCTTTTGTTTTTTAGTAACAAGTACTCTTCAATCCCCAGCATCCTTTATTCCTTGAAAGGTCCCACTCCCCCACAACTAAAAAGCCCCTAAGTGTCTCAAAACAAACAGCTGTGATCTGGTCCCAGCCCTCTGATGAGAGAAGCTGTCAGACCAGGGCTGCCCATGATCTCTACCCGTGCCCTGTAAGTGCTGAATTCATGACTGGTGGAGGGTGGGTAGGTGGGTTTAACTCCTGCTAATTGGCGTCTCAAACACAGATTCCCAGTATTGGATTAAATTTATCTGAATCTCTATATATCAAGACAGTATGAAATCTCAAGTTAAACACATGAGAATTTTACAGGAGTCAAGAATTTAAATAATCTTTGTCTCCCCCCCTCCCACCACTGTAAAGTATCCTTTAATCCTCTGCGCTCTGAGGAATCAAAACTATTTTTCAGGAATAGACTATTAAGAATTTTTCTTCCTGTTTCCCTTTGCAGAATTGTGGTGCCCACTTATACTATTTGAGAACTTGAATTTCTTTTGTATCTTGGTAGCTCAAAGCCCACCGTATCTGCAGGCTTCACGAGCAGTGAGCCCAGGTGCCTCTCTTACAGGTTCTGATTTAGTAATTCCACAGTAGGGCTCAGGAATCTCCTATTTAACAAGCCTCCTGGGTGATTCTAACTGATGTTGCCCATGGTTTATGCTTTGAGAAACATTACTCTATGGGCCAGTTCTCTACATTGCTTTTCAGAAAGGGTTGGAGGATTACAAAGTATCTGGTATTACAAACACATCTTTTCCTCTGTGGGGTCGAATTGGTGCAATCAACATTTCTGCAAGATTACTCTCTATCCTACAAGTCATTAGCTCTCCTTCCTCTCCCTTTTAAATAGAGTTTCTGGGGAAAGAAAGGTACGGATGACTCAGTAAGCATCCCCCGCCAGAAGCAAATAGGTTCGTGTCTGTTGGCCGGTGGACATGGCCAAAACCCCCCAACAACTTAGTATCAGCATTACATACCCCACTGTATATCCCTCAAAACAGCCTGGATGACCTGTCCTGTCACTGATATATGGGACAACAAACATAATCTAAACCCTCTTTTTCAAAAAATAGTATAGGGTTAAAAAGGCCTCTGAGTAAACTATCTTTCTTATGGAAAAAATTACCAAATTTTGATCATCAATATATGTGCTCTGTGCTTTACGCCACCTGCACCATCTGTAATCATACTTCAATAGAAGGGCACAGGCAAGCCTTTCACTCATGGGATCACCGGGACATATAAATGGTAGTTTGAGCTGAGACTGTCATGTCCTGTGATGGTATAAAAAGAGTAAGATGATCTCATCTTTATCCAAGTGACCTTCTTTTGTCTAATTGTTAACACTGTGGGGCAACAGGCTTCTCAGCAGTCTGACCTGCAGAGCGCAGTTTGTCCCTCCTTACCTTTGCATGGCCACAAAAATAGACTAATCAAAAATGACCCTCGCAGGTTTCACATTTATAGCTAAGTGTTGTTTGGGTCATGTATTATGATTTGTGCCAGCATTTTTAAAATTTTTCCATTGTAAATCTCTTTTCAACTCCCCAGAACCAGTGGATGAAAACTGCTACGAACAGATGAAAGCACGACCAGACAGATCTGTGAACAAACTGCAAGATGCCCCACCTTCACAGGTAAGTTTTGTTTTCTGTATCAAGGGCCAGATTCAGCCTAGGTCACAGCACAGCTGCCTGTTTCAAGAGCATAAAGGCAGCACATTCTGATAAACATCAGAAGCAGCCTGTTAGAAATTTTGCATTCTGAACCGCTGTCAAATTCTAGAGCCTAAGCTCTAATGAAAAACTCAGAAGGCAAATAAATAGTTTTCAGAGCTAAAGAGTCAAAATTGTGTACAACTACAAAGGCAGTAGATATCAAGGGAAAAGTGGATTCTCTTCTTAAATAATTAAGCTTTTTTTCTTTCAGAGCAAAAAAAAGTTACATGTATCATAGAAATAATTATGAAAAGTGACACATACAGAATGCTCAGAAGACCTAGATATCAGGAATGGAGGGTGGATGGGGAGAGAAAGACCTTAGTGAAAAGAAATTAACTATAAAAGAACATACTTCTGTTTTATAAGGAAAATGAGCGTAAATTTAATACAAGCTCTATGGCTATTGTCTTATGGCAAGATTTACATGTGGCTTCTGGGGGGTAGGCAGGACTAAAGCATAAGCAGAAATAGAAAAACCCAAGAAGAAATGGGTAGTTTATACTTTTCCTATGCACCTCAGTTCAGCCTCCTCAGACATAGCGCTACTGTTGACAGTTCTTTGTGTGTGTGTGGTTGAAGTGTTATAAATCTCAGTTGTAATGGTTCTTTCTTCCCCTTCCCTACCTCATCCCTTTTGTTATGTGCTCTCATGCTATTTCCTAGAAACAGGCATAAGACCAGCATTTCCTATGTAGTCGTCATGCGTCAGACTAGTCTTACGTACTTTATAGGTATTAGCATTTTAGATTCCTATGAGGGAGGCAGCATGATTATTCCCAGTCGACAGAGATGATATAAAACTTGCCCTAGAGACTCAGAAACTAAGTGGGGAAACAGAATCCAAAGTTAGTACCACTTGACAGAAAACCTTTTCCTCCCAAAGATGGGTCAAAACTTGGAAACTTCCCATTAAGATAGAATTTCCTTTTTCTTTATAGGAGCCTTCTAAAAATCAAATTCTTAATTTTTTTGTTTTTATGAAAACAAGATGTGGTGAGGTTTAAGCAGAATGTAAAGTAACTCTCTCATGGGCAAATCTGCCATGTGACATTCAATTAATTGTTAAATGTATTTTAGATAAAAGGTATGAAAAAACTGCTTGTTATAATATGATTTGCAAAATTCACAGTAATAAAAAGAAAACCTTTTGAGAAAGGTTAAAATATAACTATACCACCTGAAATACAGAGATCCACAGCACCTTAGTTATAATAGAACCGAGACTTCTGTTGCTGTTTAATACATGTAAATTAAATAGGCCAGCCTTATTTATGCTGCATCTGGTTTACACTCAAGAGGAAATTGTGCAGTGCCTTAAAGTGTCTTTAAAAGTCTGCTATTTTATAAATTATATATTTAAAGACACTTCTAAGGGAATTAGTCTGTATTCTTCTCACATATTTAATTTCACAAATTAGAATAATCTCTACTTTAATTTTTATTGGAGTATAGTTGATTTACAATGAAGTGAATCGGCTATGTATGTATATTCACTCTTTTATAGGTTCTATTCCCACATGGATCATTACAAAGTATTGGGTTGAGTTCCCTGTGCCATACAGTAGGCTCTTATTAGCTATCTAGCTTACATATAGTAAGCAGTGTGCAAAGATCAATCCTAATTTCCCAATTTATCCCACCAGAAGTAATCTCCTTAAATCTGCTCAATTCCATTTTATTAGAGGGCTTTCCTAGTAGCTTAGTTGGTAAAGAATCCGTCTGCAATGCAGGAGACCGTGGTCCGATTCCTGGGTGGAGAAGATTTCCACTGGAGAAGGAATAGGCTCCAGTGGAATAGGAATAGGAATAGGCTCCCACTCCAGTATTCCTGGGCTGCCCTGCTGGTTCAGCTTGTAGAGAACGCACCTGCAATGTGGGAGACCTGGGTTCGATCTCTGGGTTGGGAAGATCCCCTGGAGAAGGGAATGGCTACCCACTCCAGTTTTCTGGCCTGGAGAATTCTATGAACTGTGTAGTCCATGGGGTCACAATGACAATTATCATCAAAACACTGCCCAGTTAGCTACTATGGTACTCAGTTACTTTGGTCAGTTACAAAAGTGTGAAGAATCCATAATGCAATACAAAAAAAGCTTGATGGAGCAAATATTGGAACCAGGAAAAAGCTCCTTGTCCTTTGAAAATGATGTGTACAGTTCAAAAGTTGCAATTTCGGTCTATGCTATTAACCAGGAAGAGTTGACTGGGAAATCTAGTGGAAGAATGGATTCATGAGAGTTCCCTAAAAAATTTGAGGGGCACGAATGTGAACTTATTTTTCTCTCATCCTCACATCAAAAGCTCACCCATCCCTCCTTTCCCTCCATGTCAGAAGCATCTTCTCCCCTTTCCAAAGCCAATAGTCCTACTTGGGCTCTTGACTATTTCTTCTACTTCTTTCAAGATCTTACACCTTCAATTATTTGTCTCCATTTCTTTAAATAAGTGAAGGATTTATTGACTTACAAATATACCCAAATCTCTGCAATATTTAAAAACACAAAACAAAACTTTTACTTCAACCTGTTTTTGTCTCTAATTCCTAAACTGGTTTTTACTTTTCTCCAGTTTCCATTTATAGTCACAGATACACATATTTTTTTATCCCTGTTTATATATTCTCTGGGCTTCCCAGGTGACTCAGTGGTAAAGGATTCGCCTGCCAGTGCAGGAGACAGGAGACACGGGTTTGATCCCTGGGTCAGGAAGATCCCCTGGAGGATGAAATGGCAATTCACTCCAGTATCCTTGCCTGGAAAATTCCATGCACAGGGGAGCCTGGTGGACTACAGTCCATGGGGTTGCAAAGAGTCAGACACAACTGAACATGCATGAGCATGCAACGCACGTATATTTTTCACCCATCTATTCAACTGAAACAATACTTGGTAAATCACAAATGACCATTACACATACAGTTTGTGGTCTTTTCTCAAGACTCACATTCGCTGAACTCTGCAGGATTTGACCAATTGTTGACCAAACATTTGGAATGCTTTCAATAATAAGCACAAAAACTCAATTCAAGCTATATCATCAAAAGGAAATCACTGGCTCATGTAACTGAGATACGAGGGTGTCTTGTTTTTGAAATGATTGAATATGAGGGCTCCTCCACTTCTCCCTACTGCTTTGTTACTGACTTTATTCTCTTCTATTACCAACAGGCTCTTCCACTGAGGCTGGGAAAGCCACAGGAGACCCAGATTTTCTTTCTCCCAAATCCAGGGAAAGATATCTTTTCTACTTGTGCACCTGTACCTCAGTCCCTCAAAGGCCATGTAATTGGCTCTGCTGAAGTCATATGCCTACTCTTGGCCCAGCTTCTGTAGACAGGAGGATGGATAGTGTAATTGGTTCCAGCCTGGGTCGAATGCTTATTCCTATGCTGAGATGGGATACAGCATTGTAATTGATAGGCTCTCCAGGACCAGATGGAGGAAAGAAATTTCCTAAAACAAAGTGGAGAATTTATTAAAGAAAGAGAATAGAACAAAGTGCTAGACAGTCAAAAAAGTTACCCACCCCTTTATATTACTGAATGCCTTTTGGTAATTTTGCTAACTTCACTGACATACTCTCTATCTAGGCAAAAGCAAAGCAGGTCTTAAGGCATGATGTATGTTTAAGAAAGCAGTGAAATGTCCAGTTTGCTTAAAATACAGAGTTTATGTAGGGGAGTACTGGGAATCAAATAGAAGGTGTGAATTATGAGCACAGGAAACCTTGAATGTTATGCTATAAAACTCAGACTCTAGGCTAAAGTTTCGGGGCCAGGATGGTAAAATATAAAAGTTATGCCTTAGGAAGATAATTTGAAAATAGCAATATGAGCTAACTGGCAGAGTATAGAGATGTGATGGCAATGATACCAGTTACCTATCTACAATTATCCAGAAGTTATTTTAGAAATAAAGTCAGACCAAAGACACCAGAGAGGTTGTAAATAGAAACATCCCCCTGCCTGGTAGAGGAGATAAGACTTTTAACTTTTAGCATGAAAACAAGTGGCAACAGGGAGAAACTCATCCATGCATCGGGGGTTGTTAATCCAAATGTTGCTTCTTTACCCAAACCCCACAAATTGATATAACTTTGGCTTACTCTGAATGGTAAACCCTTATTTTTGTTTATTCAAGGGCTGTTCTAAAGTTTTAGCCTACAGCTCTGATAATTATAATACCACCATACCTTGGACCTTATCTTGGTTTGAAAACCAGGTTTGAACTGTGCAGTCTACTTAAACATTGGTTTTTTTCACTAGATGCATACTACAGAGCTATACAGCAAGGGGCTAGTTGAATTTGTGGGTGCGGAACTGTGGATATGGAGGGCAGACTATAAAATTATATGTAATATTACATATAGATTATATGTATATTCACCTGCTCAAGGGGTTGGCATCCCTCACTCCCACATTGTTCAAGGGTCAACTGTAAATTACCTCCATCTGCTGACAACATTGTAAGATGTGTGTTACGTCACTGCAGTCATGTCCAGCTCATTGCAATCCTGTGGATGTAGCCGCCAGCCTCCTCTAGCCATGGAATTCTCCTGGCAAGAATGCCGGAATGGGTTGCTTGCCCTACTCCAGGGGATCTTCCCATCCAACATTCTAAGATTGGCTATCAAATGAGAATACCTGAGGTTAAAAATATTGATAATTTTTTAAAAAATGCCCAAGGTCCCGTGGTCAGAATGTCACAGCTGGAATTCAATCCTAAAACTTTAAAACACCAAATTCAAGATCTTGTCTTCAGGCTTATTGCTTTCTGCAAGTTTCTCTAGTCTCCTGCCCTTCTTAATCTAGTACTGACCCAGCTTTAGGCCAGAGAGGACCACCAGGCTTTCTTGGATGCAAATGAATCTGAGACCAACCTAAATGAGCTCAAAAAGGATCTGGGGACAGGTACGCAGGAAGGAAGTAATAGGGAAAAATGGGAAATGCAACTCTTGCCAAATGCTGGTCATATAAATGGTTGTTGGTGGTTGTTTAGTTGCTAAGCCATGTCCAACCATTGCAAGCCCATGGACTGTAGCCTGCCACGCTCCTCTGTCCATGGGATTTCCCAGGCAAGAATACTAGAGTGGGTTGTCATTCCCTTCTCCAGGGGATCTTCCCAACCCAGGAATCAAACCTGGGTCTCCTACATTGCAAGTATCTTCTTTACTGACTGAGCTATCAGGGAAGCCCCAGTAATACAAATAAACCCTGTTAACCTTATACTTCTGAGTCTCAAATGTAGAGAAAGTAGAGACTTTTGTGGGTTTCAAATAGTCAGTTATTAAACACATGTAGAGCATATTTGATTGGCTATATTCCTTCCTGTCATGCTTTGCTCCCAGTTTAACAAATCAGAGTTTTGTTACTTGGTAGGTGAAGTACAGGGCAGTCACTCCCTGAGGTGAATGCAGGGGGAGAAAATGGTTAAAAAATCCATCTAAAAAGTTCACGTGTATTCTGAGTATAAGAAAGAAAACTGTTTTATTTTAAGCATTTTCCACTCCAAAATCTTGAATTTACAATTTGTAGTTATCACTCTAATTGACAAATTTGGCAAATAAGGCCGTGAAGACCAGAAAACAAACTTGTGTGTTTTTGGTAGGCTTTACAGTTTCCCAGAGGTCAAAGTTAAAAATAGCTAACAGTGAAAACTCACCATGCCTTTCTCTTTCAGGAAACTGAAGTAAGGGTGTGCTATGCCTCACTAGATCACAACAATGAGGGGAAGCGAAGAAAGCCCAAGAAACAGAAAACTCATTTGTCAGACAAGGATGGAGAGGGGCAGATGCATGCAATGGATATCAGCCTTTCTAAGACCACTTTGGTGGACAGTTTCCCACCGGAAAGCGAGGCAATAGAGGAAAACATTCATGATGATCCCATCAGGCTGTTTGGATTGATCCGTGCACAGAAGGAAAGTTTACACTCACTGGACTACGATCCGGCTCAGTGAACTGGCTCTTGCTGGACGCGTTTGTCAAAGAAATGAAGACCCATTCGACACAGCATGACTTGTCAGGGTGATGATCTGATTGTCTGTTGGTGGGATGGTGGCGTACCTTTTATCCAGAAGTTATGTTATGCATGCCAAGTGGAATACCATACACATTAGCTATTTAGTTATTTGAATTCACTTAAAAAACACCTATGTAGTCAAATGTGAATAAAATAAAGTTTGCAGATTGATCCTGATAGAAGCTATAACTTCAGAACAATGCTCAGTGATATAAACCTGCCCCGAAAAAAGGTTTTAAGCAAATGTTCTTGATCATGTTGAAAGAAGTCAATATATTTTTTTTAAAGTTCTCCTGTCTGAATGTGAAATACCCCATAATTGGAGGAAATTTCTGATTGAAAGGCATGGGAGGCATTTAAACTTATTTCTAAGAGTAGAGGGGTAGGCTTCTTAATATTTTCCACAAATGGAAATTTTAGTTCTAGAAATTATAAAAATTAATGCATACTCCTTATAATAGTAAATAGTATCAAAAATAATTTAGATATTCCACTAGCCAGAGATAATTGCTGGGATCAACTTTCTATATATTCGTTTAGATATTTTTCTCAGCGTGACCATACATATACCCATATATAGGCCCACTAGTTTTTTTTTTAAACAAAAAAGAAAAAGGGGAAATGATGATTGTACACATATTATTTAAACTTTTTTCACTTAATATATCATTAATTTCTTTCCACTGTTATTTTTAACTATAACTATAGTTAATAATTTTAATTTAATGACTGCAGAGTATTTCATTGATGATTGTACCAAAACTTAAATAATTTTGAAGTACATTTAGCTCATTTCCAATCTCTGGGTTTTTGCTTTTACAAATAACATTTTAATGAGAATATGTCTTTGCACATGTTTGGCACTTGTCTGACTTTCTTGTGGTTAAATGTCTAGGAAAAGGATTGCTGCTTTAAAAGGTGTGCATTGTATAAGGCTCTATAGATATATTTCTGAAAGGCTAAGAGTTAGGTCAAAGTGTGTGCCCTATTTAAACGCTAATAAGTGCTCTTAAATTGCTCTCCAAATTTTTTTTTCTAAAATGCTTTCTCTCTTGCTCCATTTGGAGTAGACAGTTGGGTCAAAATCACTGAACAAAAACATTATACGTGACAGCTATTGCTCCTGCCCTCTGACTAGAGCTTAGAAGATTTTAGTGACTCTTCAATTATCTGTGGAGCTCCTGTGGCAGTTGATGCCGTAAGTTAAACAATGATGATGGAAACAGGCTCTGCACCCATTGAACTAGGCTAGGATAGAAGATGAGTATTAGGTTAAAGAAAAGTGTGAAGTGAAGTGAAGTGAAGTTGCTCAGTCGTGTCCGACTCTTTGCGACCCCATGGACTGTAGCCTACCAGAATCCTCCATCTGTGGGATTCTCCAGGCAAGAATACTAGAGTGGGTTGCCATTTCCTTCTCCAGGAGATCTTCGCAACCCAGGGATCGAACCTGGGTCTCCCGCATTGCAGGCAGACGCTTTACCATCTGAGCTACCAGGGAAGCTCAAAGAAAAGTGTAGCTACTAGTTAAAAAAAAAAGGAAATACTATTAAGAAAAAAAATGAGAGATAATAACAGCGAGAGGGCATCTCTGAAGGAAGTCTTAGTTCTGAGAAGTGAACAATGAGAACGAACCACCCACATAAAGAGAGGAAGGAAGAGCACATTTTGTGTAAAACTTCTATCCCTATTTGGAAGTACCTACTTCTATCAATAATTATTTTCCATTATGAATCTGTAGAAAATTAAATGCTGATTACAAAATATTTCAAGGTGTCCACAATGCCATAGAAAAGGCAAGAAATATTAGTATCTAAGGTCAGAAGAAGTCAGGTTTCTGATTCCAAAGAACCAAAATGGAGTTAATAATACATATTGACTTTGTGTTTCATGTTTAATTTAAAATAAAATTTTTGCTATCATGTTTATGTTGTTACATGTTTATATATTACTATGGCTCAATAAAAATAAAGTTAGATTGTGTTTACGGCAGCTATTTTTTCCTGTAACTATGCCACAGGATTCACTTGTATTATTTACCTGGCATCTAGAAATATTTGAATTTTTTTGCCTCTGGTTTATATCATTTGAATTCCAAAATATTTTAAAGTTTTGTGTACCAGATATATCTGATGCCCATTAGGAAGATTTTTAGCTACAAATTTAAATTCTTTAATAAATACAGGGCTCTTTAAGTTACCTATTTCTTATTGTGTGATCTTGGTGAACGTGTCTTTTGGGGAATTTGTTAAATTTATCGGAATTAAATTGTTCAAATACTCTCTATTATTTTTTTAATATCTGTAGAATTTGTCATGACTTTTCTTTTATACTGATAATTTGCTTATTTTTACCCATCTAGACGTTTATTAATTTTGATTCCCTGAAAAAGTCATTGTTCAATTTTCTATTGTTTTTACATTTTCTGTTTCATTGACTTACCCTCTGATCTATATTATATCCTTTCTTCTGTCTATTTTATGTTTCATTTTTTTTAAAAAAACATTTTAAGGTGGAAACTGAGGTCATTAATATAAAACTTTTTTAATCTAAAGTAGGCATTCTCATAAATGTCCCCTTTCTAAAATATTGTTTTGCTATATCCCACAAATTTTGATGTTTTCATACTCATTCATTTCAAACACTTTCAATTTCCCTTTTGATTTCTTTAACCAATGGGTTACTTATCAATGTATTTTATAGTTTCCAAATATTTGAGGATTTTCCAGATACTTCTGTTGTTGACTCCGAAATTAATTCTATTGTGGTCACAGAACATATGACTTGAATCCTTTTATATTTATTGAGGCTTTACTGTCAGAATATAGTCTATCTTGGTGGATAACAGTGTGCACTTGCAAAATGTATATTCTATTGTTGATAGAGTGTTCTGTAAGTGTCAATTAGGTCAATTTGGTTGATAGAGTTTTTCAGGTCTTCCAGGTGGCACTAGTGGTAAAGAATCTCCCTGCCAATGCAGAAGACACAGGAGCCGTGAGTTCAATCCCTGGGTCAGGAAGACCCCCTGGAGGAGGCCATGGCATCCCACTCTAGCACACTTGCTGGGAGAATCTCGTGGACAGAGGAGCCTGGTGGGCTACAGACGGTGAGGTGGCAAATAGCTGGATACAACTGCAGTGAATGAGCATGCACACTCATGCGCATCCTTACTGATTTTCCTGTGTTCTATCAATTATTGAGATTGTTGAGATCTAAACTGTATTTGTACATTTGTCTCTTTCTCTGTACCCTTCTGTCAGTTATCGCTTCATGTTTTTTCAAGATCTATTATTATTAGGGCATGCATGTTCAGAGCATTATTCTGAGATGAATTTAATCTTCATCATTATGAAATAACCATCTTCATCCTTGGTAGTATTGTTTTCTTTGCAACCTACTGTGTCTAATATTGTTATTCTAGCTCTTTTGATTAATGTTAGCATGATATATCTTTTTATACCTTTTCAACCTAGTTATATATTTTATACTTAAAGGGAACTTTTTGTGGACCACATATAGTTTTGCTTTTTTAAAAAATCCGGTCTGAAAATCATTAAATTTGGGCATTTATTTTCATTTAGTGCAGTTATTGATATTATTGGGTTCAAAGCAACACTTTTGACATGTTTATTTGTCCCATTTGTTGTTTTCTTCTTTTTATGACATCTTCTAGATTATATCAGTATTTTCTGATTCCATTTTATTTTCATGGCTGGATTATTAGTTACAAATCTGCTATTTTAGTATTACATATCATTATAAACTTTCACATTTCAGCTGAAAAAATGTAAAGAAAACAGAACATTTTGACTCAAAAAACAGATGAATTCCACCGTCTTAAGATTTTCACTGGAAATGTCTTAAGGTTCCAAAAAGTTCAACTCAAATCTCAAGAGCAGAAGCAGTAACTAATTTTCCTTTGGTATTAAAGGACTTATTTCTATCAGATTAAAGGCAGTATGATTAGTTTTGACATATACTTAAATCTCTGAGGTTTTGCCTTCATGTGATAAAAGGAATTGATAATTTATATTAAGACAGTGAAAAACAATAACATTAAAGTTTACAGAAGATAATAAGACAAATTCAACAGATGCACTAGTAATGATGCTTGTGTTCCTTTAACTTCTTCGAAGAAGCCACCCTGCCTACTCACAGCTTCTACTAAGTCATGGCTGACTGTACCTGAAGTGGGTACCTGAATCAAGATAGCTGTCTAATGTATAGACTGGTGTAGAAGATGCACTATCAGTGGGGGCAGAGCCAACAGGATGCTACTAAAGAGAATTTGGTGCTTGGTAAACAACCCGGGAGTTGGTGATGGACAGGGAGGCCTGGCGTGCTGCGATTCATGGGGTTGCAAAGAGTCGGACACGACTGAGCTGAACTGAAACAAAGCACAGTTGCCAGGGGGCAGAAACTAAGAGTAAACACAAGAAGATTGTTGCTAAAGAATGGAATTCAAGACTGTGATCAGAGAATCATAACAACTCTAATTTATTAAGAACTTACTAAGCGCAAGACACTGGGCTAAGTACTTATCTGCATACCTAATTTAACCATGTAACACCCTAAAAGATGGATGCTATTATCATCTTACATATGAGAAAACCAAGGCTGATAAAGATTAACTTGCCTAATATTTCACAAACATATTATAGATTCAGAATTTAAATAGCAGTCCAAGTGCAGAACTGGATAAGTTGAGAATTTGATCCCTTTAGTTAGTTAAAAGCACCTTAGGCCCAAATTTTGGATTGTCCCTACATCCTACCTATTTAATCATAATCATCTCTACTTTAAATATCCTAGGTTTCACCAGAATTGAAAGAGACACGTGTGCCCCAATGTTTATTGCAGCACTGTTTATAATAGCCAGGACATGTAAGCAACCTAGATGTTCATCAGCAGATGAATGGATAAGAAAGCTGTGGTACATAT